ACTGAATATTCCAGAAGTTTATTGTTTTGTCAATAATATGAGTGAAAAATTCATATAAATCAGTTTTTATTACAACTCTCCAGATTTCTCCACTTGTTATTTCAAGAGTAATTTTCTAGCGGTTGAAAATGCCTGAAAAGTTGCGATCACAAGCATCTTCAGATAAATTCTAACAAAAAATTTCAAACCTCGTAAAACTTTATATTCATGAAATCATGAAAGACTTGAATATGTGTTGAGCATGGAAAGAACTTTTGTTGCAACTTCAACAGCTCGTAAAACAAAATATCACGTTACATCATAAAAAATAACCCTTTTACGAATTTACAAAAAATACTAAAAAATTCGCGTCTTAAGGAGAGCGTAAAATTCATCCTCTTTTTCAACTTGATGGGGGTTATAAAATACAACCATGAATATTTAGAGTAGAAGCGATGCAACTGTCTCTACGAAGTACCATTCACAAGGAAAGCAGTGCAAAACAAATAAAAGGGGACCGTAAACGGCTGGAATAATTACAAAATTATGTTTCTATTATACTGTGTCCCTTCAACCGGGTCACAAAACCAGATGTGAAATTCCGGCTTAATTTCCTCTCCGCGAATCGCGTTGGACCGTGAAAGACCGACGCTTGTTAACCCGTTCCTGTTTCATTTTATATCTTTTTTTTTGGTTGCACGCATATTTCAAGCATAAAAGCTACTTGTTTGAATTAGAGTCGTATATCACAGCGGAACTCCTCAGAAATCGTAAACACTGGGATGGAAGAACATAATAAAGTTCAGGGGAATTGAGTGTTGAGTGAAGTTTTATTTGTCAATAAATTTATCAATAGTTGAAGTTTGATAAACTAATAAAAAGTCAGGGTCGTATATCACGGGAGAACCCGTTCGCAATTGTGGAAATTGGTAGGAAAAAATGTAATAAAATTCAGATGAATTGAGTGTAAGGCGGCGGTGCTCATGGGATGACGCTGATTTCTCTATTTTCAACTGTCAGATTAGTCAGAAGTTGGGGTGTAAGTTCGAAAATTGAAGGCGAGAATTATGTTGGCTTGGACAAGTTGACGTTGATATTATGATGAGTTCCGCCTCTGTTTTGAATAATCAAGGGTTGAGAATTTTCCGATTGTTCCAAGGTGAGACGTTTAGATTGCGTTTCTTTATCAAAGTCACGAAGTTCTGATTAATTTTTATTTAAATTCCATAAATTCATTTATAATGGAAGTTTGAAATTAATCGATTAACAGTAACAATTCTATCTAATGAGTAATGCAATAAAATCCAATGAAGCAATGAATTCTTAATTCACTTTGAAATGATAAAAAATCGTTTCAACTTCACAGTTTGATCATTTAGAAGTGATTGCTCACTTTTTATGATTGTCACAAGTTCTGCATTCCTTTTGAAGTTTTCAATTGTTATCCGAGTCGAGGATTTGGTTCGGATTGGACGTACACAGGTCTTTCAAGATCTCTCCAGACCTAGATGGACCTGGTAAGTCCTAATCAGTTCTGCGACGTACTTTTCCAGAGACCTTTCGAACCCTCAGTTCTTTTCGGTCCTGAGAAGTCCTCCTCGATGCTACCGAGAACGCGTGATTTTACGAGCGGGTGAAGGGGAAGGCATGTATGCGGAGGGTTGAAATTTGTAGCCAACGAGGAGACAGGGTTGCAGAATATATTTTAGCCACCCTCATCTCCCCGTTTGCAGGCGGTGTTTAAATAAAAAATAGTGAACGTTGATTCTGTATTTATTGACCCCCTGATGCCAATGAAACCCTCGGAGGTGACAGAAATGGGGAAAAAAAATTTTTCATTTTCACGTGGGTCAAGGGTGAAAGTCGATTTTCGCCAAAATTGAATTTTTTCGCCAAGTGAAAGTTGATTCTGTATTTTCTAACAATTCTGATGCCAATGAAACCCCCGAAGGCGCGACAAAAGTCGAAATAAATTTTTTTTTTCACCCCGAGCCAAAGAGTCGGATTTTCTGTTTTTCCAGAGAAAAAGTCGACTTTCGCCAAAATCGAATTTTTTAGACGGGTGAACGTTGATTCCAACTATTTAAGCGACGGGCTATTCAGAACTCTCAAAAGTATGTGGAAAAAGTTAAAAATGAAAAAAAAAATTTTTCACCCGGACCCAAAGGGGTCAGATCTTGGATTTTTTCAGGGGGAAAGTCGGTCAAAGGGTCACAAGGGTCACGAGGGCCAAAGTGTCAGATCTTGGATTTTTCCAGGGGGAAAGTCGACTTTCGCCAAAATCGAATTTTTTAGCCGGGTGAACGTTGATTCCAACTATTTAAGCGACGGGCTATTCAGAACTCTCAAAAGTATGTGGAAAAAGTTAAAAATGAAAAAAAAAATTTTTCACCCGGACCCAAAGGGGTCAGATCTTGGATTTTTTCAGGGGGAAAGTCGGTCAAAGGGTCACAAGGGTCACGAGGGCCAAAGTGTCAGATCTTGGATTTTTCCAGGGGGAAAGTCGACTTTCGCCAAAATCGAATTTTTTAGCCGGGTGAACGTTGATTCCAACTATTTAAGCGACGGGCTATTCAGAACTCTCAAAAGTATGTGGAAAAAGTGAAAACTGAAAAAAAAAATTTTTCACCCGGACCCGAAGGGGTCAGATCTTGGATTTTTTCAGGGGGAAAGTCGGTCAAAGGGTCCCAAGGGTCACGAGGGCCAAAGTGTCAGATCTTGGATTTTTCCAGGGGGAAAGTCGACTTTCGCCAAAATCGAATTTTTTAGCCGGGTGAACGTTGATTCCAACTATTTAAGCGACGGGCTATTCAGAACTCTCAAAAGTATGTGGAAAAAGTGAAAACTGAAAAAAAAAAATTTCACCGGCGGCCACAGGGTCAGATTTTCGGTTTTTACTTGGAACAAGGGTCAGATTTGTTAACACTTTCTTTTTTTATTTGGACAATGCATGCAAGCGGAGGGGCAAGAGTGGCTAGAATAGATTCTGCAACCTTCTCCGCTTGTTGGATAAAAATGTCAAGCCTCCGCATACATGCATCTCCCCTCCACCCTCCCGTGAAATGTCGATTTTCGAGATTAAAAAAAAAACAATAATTGCATTTTTTATTTCAATAACGCATGAGTAAATAGGGATATGAACGCAGATTTAATATAGGCCCATAGAATTACGGGGACCGGCAAGGATTTGGAAAGTCTGAATGCAAGTCCTGCTTACACCTAACAAGTGCTGAAGTGGGACATAACCAGAGGTAGAAAGGTCTCGGAAGCACTTGGGAAGAGGCTTCCCAAGACCTATCCAGTTCTGAACGTAAAGACCTAAGTAGAACTTGTCAGGTCCAATTATTCGACTCGGGATACACCGTGAGGATTCTCGTTTGAAGCCCATTATCAAAGTAATAAACATGTAATGGAGTTTGATTTCAATCGAGTAAAGCCACCAATCATTGAAGTTTTAAACTAATCGATTCTAATCAGCGGAAATAATTCACTGCACCGAGCGATTGTGCGATAAGTTTCACAGCCTATAAATGCAATATTTGCGATTCTCGTGAGAATGAACCCTTAATCCACTCTGTAACACCCCTAAATCGCATTAAACTTCACATATGAACAATTCCGAAGTGATTGAGGATGACTGTCGCGCCGTTATCAGCATTGAAAAATAGCCCACCATAAGTGCATTCGAATATATTCGTGTTTTGGTAACCACGAGAACTCTCCCATAATTCAAGCCTCCTGACAGACTAGTGAACAGTGAAACTTCACTGCGTGTGTGACAAAACTGAACAGGAGTGGATAGGTACATTGAACGACGTAGAGAGAAAAATAATAGTTATGGATACTGGCGAATTCATTTCATTTTACGATCCTCCCGACGTTCGATATCACGGGAAAAACAACAGTACGTTGAACATTCGCGGCCTGATCCTCTGTGTTTTCAGCTTTCAATGGGAATTCTTTACTTTTTTGCTTCCGAATGGAAGATTTGTAAACTTTAGATTTAAGTTCTTGATTTTTGTTGTTATATCAATTCATTAGCATATGACAAGTCTGAAAATGCAATTTTTAGTGTGTGACCACGGTTTTCTTTAATTATTTGCACTAATGAATCGATATTTTATTTAATGCGGGTATTGAGCTCCATCCATCGACATTAATCAAAATTTAATTCATATATCAATTTTTAGAATTTTCGAGTTATTTCAAAAATCGATTGTCACACGATAACTAAATAAAAATATTCTAAATTCATTGAATAAGTGTTTTAAATTTTTTTTTAGATTCCGGAGATATTTGTGGATATCCTGTTGCAAATTCATTCAATTATGCATAAAAAAAAGTTTAGATCATTTTTTCATTTGACTTAGCCACGAATTTGACAAGAAATATAAATTAATTGAGCGAAATCATATAAAACGGTAAATAATATACGATAGATGAAAATAATGGGCAAATGAGCATTGGGAAGCATATTCCCAATTTATCAGCAAAGATAGCTATACTGTATGAAGACAAAAGCAATTTCCCACTTGTTTTTTCTTCCTGCTCCAATGGCTCATATTCAAGCACATTTTCACTACCACAAAACTTTTATTTCCCGTGACGGGTGAACACCAACGGGAAACCTCAAACTTCCTCATGCTGCAGCACGTTCACATTTTCCCAGCTTTCTTTCGGCAAATCTACTTATTCCATTTCTTTTCTTCTGTTCCATCCGACGCGTATTTCCGGAGAAAAATGCAGGATTTCATCACGGAGTCATAGCGAATTTGATTCGAAGCCGCGTGAGATTTTCCACCCCACATCTTTCGAAAAAAGATTTCCCCACACAAAAGTAAACGCCAGTCCATGCACGCACAGTTTCTAAAAAAACGTGTTCAACGCTCTCAGCACACGCGGGACTCGACTCATCCGACAACAAACAATATTCCATTACAGTAACGAATATTTAAGTCAAAATTGCTGGTCATCAACATAAGATAATTTCCTGTTTTTTTTTTTTATAAAACTCTCTGTACCTAACAAGGGTATTGCGTCGGAGACCTGTGGCAGGGTCTCAGCAACTAGATTCAGGAACACCGTGAGCGATAGCAAAATGGTCACTCCTGAAACAATATTTCGACCATTGCGCTGAAGTGAGTGCTGTTGTGATGAAATGAGAAACAGTTTTAAGCATATGATGATGGAGTATATTTTTATGAGCAACATCGAGATGGCGTCTTAACAGGGTGATAATAATAATTGAATAATTACAATTGATGTTCTGGTTATCTATGATGTTGAATTGAGCTGGAGACGCTGGAATTTCAGAGGCATAAATAACCACTTTGTCGTTTGACATTACTTTTGACTTGAAAATCCTAGACAATAACGAGATGAGGATTGATTGTGTCAAGAAGATTGATGTTTATTGCGTAATTCTTGATTTTGTTATTAACATGAGATTTTTTGGATTGAATTTTTTCTAGAGTTGGAGGCAGATGAAATAGTTAGCGAACCGTCGCATTAAGCATTCGGCTATTACACATTAGAGCGTAGAGATTCAACTTCTACGGAGAACTCTGTTTTGATAGAATAAAAAAAATCGTGGAAATATGCGAAACTTTGATTTATTTTGAGAGCATTTTCCTTGAAAATCAGATAAAACAGTTTTAATTCTCAGTAATTGGCCTTTAAACCTAGAAAAATTGTCTTGAATTGACGATTTTCCATGTTCTAAAATTAGTCTGCTCATGTTTGGAATATTTTTTTGAATATCCCCGAAATTGGGAATACTATCGACTGACATTTTGACTTAATAAATGTTGGATTGGTGCTCAATGAATGCTTACCTTCATCTCTTTTAAATATTCTCATTTTAAACCTCAAATTCTCGTTTAAAAACATTTCGAGCAAAAAATTCAGGCAATGTATAAAATTCCGATTCATTTTCAGAGGATTCTCCTCAAAAATCAGCTAAGAAAACTACTAATTCCTCGTAATTTGCGCTTAACCTTAAAATTTTACTTAAATTGCTGGTTTTTCTTGTTTTAAAATTAATCTACTGATGTTTAAAATATATTTTTTAACATATCCCTGAAATTTATAATTCTATCAGCTTGCCTCCACAAATATTGAATTAATACTCTATCAATCCTCAACTTTATTCCTCAACAATTTTCTCAATTTATCAACTCAATTTCTTTCCATTCCACAACTCACTCATTGTCACTTGAAAAACAGTTAAAATCAGTAACTTAATCGTGAAAAATGAAATTGAGAAATTTCTTTTTGCCATGTGGCCATTTATTTCTCCAATATTCCATGATCTTCAGCATGACAAAATGATGATTCACTTAAATCAGTATATTCATAAATTCGATGATGAGAAAGTCGATGGCATACATATAACTGAATTCCACACACGTATTCTTGCCTCTGCATGGTGTCACTCCAGTCAGCGCCAACAGATCACAACTCCCGAGTGCTTTTCATCCCCTCCGCACGGCCTAACCAGGCAATATGTATACGCAGTGGTTGTAGTCAAAGGAGAACGAGACGAGAGCAAAGATTCACGTCGCACCGCAACAAACACACGATCATGTGATATTATTCAATGAGGAGAATATTCACAAAGTACAGTGCACCGGAGCAATACCGGGGTTAAGATGGCGTCGGATTCGCGGAAGAGAGGACGTGCCTGGTGGGATGAGAACTTTTGGGTAACGCAATCTCAAGTTTGAGGATTTGGGGAGGCATGAGAGATAGAGGCGGAGGGGAAACACGACTAACATGAAACGAGAGTTTGATAGTAGACACGTTGAGGTTCCAGGGATGGAATCAGGAAAGTGATGGTGGTACTGTAACAATGCAACTGGAGAGTCTCTTTGGGGAGATGATGAAGGACGGCGGGTGGAGAGGTGGAAAACGATGGTAATGGAGAGACAAATTTGGGAATATCTCGGGAGTAAATCGTGGAGCGACTGGATATCTCGATGGACGTTCAATGGACTTTGTTATACGTCCGTATGGATGTGGGTCATCTTCACAGGAGAAATAATGAGGGCAAATCAACTCGTGCTTAGTGTACACGGAGAAAAGAGGTGGAGAAACGTTACTGAACATGCAAGTAATCGTGACGCGAATTCGATTTCAGTTCTGTGCGAGACGAATAGTGAATTTTTCTCCGTTGGCGCGGGAATATTTACTGAACGTGAGGGTAATTTGTGCCGAAACTGTCAAATTTACCCCGCATTCCATCAAAATTTATGCCAGTGAACGTGAATGATTGCTCAATATTGCGTATAATTTTTCTGTAACGGAGAATGATTTTTTACCGAACGTGTTTGATTTTAATGTCGCTCTGCTGGTAATTACTACTCAACTGTCCATAAAATTTCAATCAAATTTTCTGACACTGCATTCCCCGAATGAGAAAAAAATTTCTAATAACTTTGACATAAGAAGAAATATGAGTTAGGAATTAAGAATAACCCAGATTGTTCGTTTTGTTTATCTACGAACAATTGACGCAATTTCAAAAATCATTTTTTTATTTTTATTTCAACGTATTTAAACCCACAGGTTTATCTTCCCATTTAAAAAATTGTTACTGTACAAAAATTACGTTATGTAGATACAGATTTCTTTGCAAACGATATCCACATTTATTTGTTTCGAAAATGAGTCAACACACTCGGCGTAAAAAAGTAAAGGTTTGATAAATGTCAAAACGATAGCATGATCCTCAATTTAGTATCCTCAAAGCAGGAGTCGATTTCTCCTCATAATTTTTCAAATTGATTTGCAATTAAATTCCAAGAATTGAATTTGTTTCTGCGGAAGGAAGCAATATTTATTTGTGTTCACGGATGGTGACACGACTCAACATTTCCAGTACAATCTGGTTGGATACGATCAAAGCCACCTGGATTATTCAGAGTCAATGTTTTGCGAACGGAAAACTAGAGCACAGACACACGGAGTGAATATAAGCACAAAAAAGATCAAAAGAGGAATGAGTTTTGAGGAGGGGTTTTGGTATGTCTGTCCCGAACGATGAACAGCCTTAGGAGTGAAAAACGGTAATCCCAGGTCCGAAACGTGAGGTGGAATCCGAGTGAGGACTTGGGGCAAACATTCGCGAGTCCTGGGTGTCTCTCGGTGATTTTTTTCCCTCCTACACTCGGGATGCTTTCCTTTTTTCCGACAAATCGCTTTCAACATGAATCCCTCGCCTCTCTTTTTTCGCTGCAGTGTACTAAGGTCCTTCATTCTTCCCATTTCTAATTCAATGGACTCGTCCCACACTTCCCTCCGAGCTTCAATTTTTAATGATTATTTCCCATTGTGGGAGATGGTTTCGATATTTCACGACTATCTCTGTCGTTGCGATCTGTTGACGCTGGTATAACTTACCTTTACCTTGAAAATTAAATAAATTTCGGTTTAAGTGTCTGTTAATTTCACCAGGAAAATTAGTGTCTGAAATTGAGACATTTCGTTCCCTTTTTTTGTGAGATTTGTGTCACCAAATTTGAGTCGTTTTTAGTGTTTCAAATTAAGACATTTAGAGATGCATTCTAGACATTCTAGATGTCTTACTCGAGGATTTTATCTTTCAAACTTCCAATGTCTCAATTGTCTTGAATTGAGACAGAAAAAATGTCTTAAATTTGATGATTTGTAATTCAAGACATTGTGAAAATGTCTTATCTATCAAACGTTTGGCTTTTAGCCCAAAAAACGTCTTTGTCTCAAAACACATTTTTGCCTGTAATGTCTTAAATTAAGAGACAAGTTTTTACAGTGATCTCATCTCTCACATCAGAGGAACGAATAGTTCCAGACATTCACTTGCGTAAAGTGAGTAAATTAGAACTAGCAGTACATCAAATAAATAAATAATTATGCACAGAGAGAAAAATATCGGAAAAATTGTGCATCACAGTAATTTTTCCGGCTTTTTTTCTCCGCGCGTTAAATTTGATATCATAACGTGGTCTCCAAGTTTACATTACTTTATCAGTATAAATTTCACGGTTCACCATCTTATTATACAACCCAAGAACCTAAACTCTCCTTGATTTAACGGTCGAGTGACTTTAGTACACGACATATACGTCTCAGCAAGCTCATCGTCAAGATTACCCGGGATTTCTTTGGTTACGTCACGTCTCCTTAAGCCGATGAATTTGTCGAACCAGACAGCGGGCAAACTGATAAATCGATCGGCCACCCTGTCCTCCTCGTGTCCCGCGTGAATCCTTCACGCACGTGTGCACAGTCCCTCGTATTTTAATTCCTTTATTTATTCCAACTATTCATATTTCTCACCATTCACTCATGCTGCGCGTGACAGATCGATGATGAAAATTCATTGAAATCGAATCAACAGCATTGAGAAAGCCCGAAGTCTATGGCTCAATCCCATTTGCCGTGTGTGGGTACAATTCACACACATTGTACACGTGTTTTTTCTATCTACAAATAAAAAAAATATCTCCATTCCTCGTCTATTCATCAATATTCCTCAATTTTTTCGCGCAAATTCCCCCCCCCCCCCCCGGGGAGTGCGGGATTTTCATTTTTTTAATGCCCCGAGAATTCTGAAAGCCTTCGAGAAAATAAAAACCATAAATCTTTTTTTCTCCTCTTCGATATGGAAAAGAATAAATGGAGATTCAGTTGAATCGATTGACAATTTTTTTTCCCCCGATTCAAATTCAATTACTCGCGTTTCGAAACTCAGCGACTGCAGTCACTTTCCTCAATTGCGATGAGGAAAAATGTGATAATAATTCAGGCTATTGAAAACGAATTTGGAGATCAATACAGTGCGGATGCTCCACGGAGGAGGCTTTTTAATTTCCAATTGGTAGAGGTGAGATCCGTCAGCTTTTACTTTCCATTACTTTTTTTCCTCATCTTCATTCACCGATATTAGACGACAAGATGAAAGGGGTGTTACCATCAATCGCGTATCCCAGACATTTCTCTCCCCTCGGCTGATCATACAATGAGCTGTCACGAGTATCACTTTTTGAATACGCAACAAAAAAGGACTGGGAATCGATCAGTGATGGATTAGTTATACATTCACACCCACATTTCCCTCAGTCCGATGACGCGCTCCTACTCCTGCTCATCCCATCACTCTTAACCCCTTCTCCCAGTCCCTCTTTCCCTCGTGTTGACCGAGCCCATTCCCTCACGATCGACGTTTTGTATCTTCTTCCCTTCGCTCTCGTCCACCCTCCCCTCTCCCCCCAGCCCTAGAATTCCAATCGTGCCTGTCACCGCACGATTCAGTCGCGTTCGTCCTCCTGTAAAGAGCTATACGACAGATTAATTCATCATCGATCAGATCGGACTCTCCTCTATTGCTTCACAATTTCCCATCTAGAGTTGACCGAAATAACGTTTGATTCCTTCATTTCGATGGTTATTGATTGAGAAGGGAAATTGACGGGGGAAAATGCTCCTGAATTGACAAGTTTTGACTGGAATTTTGAAAAGTGATTTGTTAACTGATATCGGTGATTCATTAGTTTTATTATTGCAAACAGTGAGCAATAATTAGGAGTATTCAGGTTCTTGAATTTTTGAGTGAACTTTTTTTGAAATTTTTATCACATTATAGTTACACTGAAATTTCAAGGAATTTCGTCACTAAAGATTGAAAATTCTATGAAAACATCAATGGAATCTGGAACTTTTAGCTCAATTATTCCACGACAATTGATGGAAATCGAGAAAGTTCAAGAAAATTGGGAAATCCTCGTCTTTCCGCTGATAAAGAATTTGACATTTTATTTAATTTGCGGTGAAATCGAAAATTTCTTATTTTTTAAAGTCACTCTCCTGAAAATTACTAGTCAACTGTCCATGAAATTTCAAGTTTCTTCGAACAATATTACTTGAATTTTCAATTCCTACTAAACTATCCAAAAAATATTGAAATCGTTTCGAAAATTTTTCTATTGAAACGAGAATTCTCATATCCTCAATTCAAGAACATTTTGCCTCCACAACCTTCCACATCATTTTTCCAAAATAAAGAAAGATAGATTAATTCTTAATCCATAAATATTACATTAAGTGAGATTCATGCAATAACATCATAAAAATTATTTCCCCTCCTGAATAAACGTTTCTGGTGCCTCCTCATCAAATCCCTGGATATAAAAGTTCATAAATACAGGGGAATGTGAATAAAATAACTGCAAATATAAGTACAAATCACCATGAAAAATATAACATACAGACATCCTGTTACAGTATGAAAATAATAAACAAAAACACCATACAAAAAATATAAACCATAAAATGTGTCCAACAAAATCGCTGAATTTATTACATATTTATACGAAAAACCTTTAACAGTTGTTTTATCATTTTTATTTTTAAAGGCTTGACGCCGTTATCGTTTGATTGGGCGTTCGTTTCCCCCCACGCTGCCCCACTACGCATGAAATCCCGAGTTTACGATCTCCTCGTACCACTCAAGTTCTTAAGCAGATTGTGGAGACATAATTGGAAGCCGTATCTTAATCGTAATACGATGAATCGATAATATCCGTAACCGAGTTTCCCCAGAGTATTACGATTTGTATTTAATGGTATCACAACGAACAAACCACAATTTCCTTAATTCCAATTTAAACGTTGACATTGATAATGCAAAACGGTACGGTATTATCTCTAAGACACTTGAAATTCCCCGCACACCGACAAAAAATTTCTCTCTTTCTCGTAAAACAAGCCATCACCAAAAAAAGGTAGGACTGATCCCTCATACTCACACACTTTTTACACAAGGAACATATATTGGAGGAGAATGTCACGTATAAGATGATACTTTGGGAAAAACGACCTCAGGAAACTACAATTGACACTGTCTACCAGCTGTTTCATTTGGACGAACAAGGAAGAGCATGATATATACATGAGTATGAATGTGAAATCATTTCCATTATTCTGGGAAGTATTTCGAGGAATATTAATTGACAAAAGTAGTTATCGGAGTTCATTGCAGCACATCTGAATGATGCAAGAGGATTAAGGATTGAGGTCGTTGGACGCTGAAGCTCGCTAAACCTTCATTACTCGGTGACAACTTGGTATTGTCAGTCTCTAGATTTCAGTCACTCAAAGAGCTCCAGTGATTTCGTACATTTTGGGATTGAATTGTTGTTTGGAACTTGATTCAGGATTTGCCTGAGTGGAAATTCAAGTCAGGGACTCATGCATAAGAAATGAAGTGTTTGTTCAGAACCAGGGCTGAGCTGCATTGGATCCAAACACTCTCTCCAGTACCCGACAGGAGCCCGATTCAAAGTGTCCAATCAGGAAATGCAACATCCCACAACTCCAAAAGGTGGAAATCCAAATCAGACTAGAGTTAGGAACGCTTCGTCAAGCCTGATATTGATCATTCTGAGATCAGAAATGAAGCGTCACATCTGTACTTGATCAAATACAATCACTGGACCTCTCCGTCATTCAACTAATCATCTAAAATCATGCAGTATCTCCTATCCATCTAAAATATCTACTTAAATCCTGCAATCCTAGCAAACTGCATCCACAAGATGATATTCCCGTCACACCTATTCGCCGCCGTAACTCTGATTCTTCAATCAGACTTGAGCAATAGCAAATCCAACGGGGATAACAGCCCACGAATGGAAACTTCTATTGATCCCCGAGGGCTTAACATACGGCTATCCTCAGAACCTCGTTTTCATCCTGCCTTCCCATTTCTCCCGAAATTGAGCAAACTTGTCCCCGTGGAAAATCACCCAGTAACTTTCCTTTTTCTTTACCTCCTTCGAGTAAACGATATCATCTCAGCAGCGTCCTCCGACCATGACATTAGGGGAATCGGGGCGGCGATGTTCAGGGTCGGGAGAATACTCTATATCTACCAACACGTGGTATTAAAGAGGCCGAGGGGGTGTGTGCTGGGTTGATGTCTAAGGGAGGATCTCTTCACTATTGCCGTCCGGCCCACACACACACACATACACACATACACACACATCTACTTCTCTCCCGGGTTGATTGTCCTTGTGTGCGATTATCCTCAGGGAGATTTTGCAAGGCGTACATTCATACCCACGCTCACACATATAGACATTAATATAAGTAATACACTATAAAAACCACTGTTGAGTTTATATCGGGCAAAAGTACTAGAGGGCAGAAGTGAAAATGCAATACCTATTAATGGGACAGCGTCCGACGTTGTCGGCATGCTCTCGGCAACGAGGTTCAGGAAGACTGTCAGCGACAGTAGAATGGTCACTCCTGCAGATAACCGAGAATAAACAGAGTCACTATCAAAATTGACTGCGGCCTTTGTTGGTTTTTTTCCCACTATTTTCGCTCTTTTGTGATAGACAAAGCGATTTCTAACTCCTCCATCACTTGACGCTTCTCTCTTTCGCCTTCACGCTCACCATCTGGAATTTGTTCTTTCCTTTTTTTTCTCTTCTTCCACTTTACTACTAGGGATGTCGGAAAACTCCGTAAACTGAGCGATTTGAAAGTCTGGACACTCCATATGGAGGGGTGGCGGGTTGAAACTTCTGAAAGTGACGGTGCAAGGCTTGGGCTAAAGCGTTTGATGGCATACCGTTGAGGATCGGAAGAAGAGGCGAAAAGAGTCTGCACAGGGTATTCAGAATATATATTCAGTTTATGTAGCACTCGGGAAAATGTTTCACGACACAATGCTGGTACATAGCCACTGCATATTGCCTGCATACTGACGAGAACTGTCGACGACATACAACGACCCATTGTCACTCTTGTCAGCGGAAATCCAACCTCGACAGTTTACGACAAGTTTATTTTGTGAGAAGGTTTACACTGCATTCGATAACGCGAATTGGATAAAGAGAATACTGGTGCATGAGAATGATCCTGTCGTAACTTCTGGTGATGAACGATGCGTTTATGATACGATAAATCATCGGTACCTTTGCAATTGTCATTGGGGGGGAAATTGAAGAAAGTGGATGATTAATTGATTTGGGAACGGGGATTTCGGCAATTGGAACTGGATGACAGGATTATTCAATCTGGAGTTTGGACTAATGTGTTCGACTCCAAGTTTTGGAGTCAGAGGCGAATGGGAGAATTATTGATTCGGCCAGTTGGGAGCGTGTAAACCCTTGATGAATATGGTTGGAGGGGTCATGAAGACGTTGAGGTCGTCTCTGAGGAATCGGACGAGATTAACGACTGCATCAACTCTGCGATTGTTGGTCAGAGGGCAAAAGTGCAGACAGAGCTGCGGGATAGACTGTCGTGGAATTAGGAGATGCGAAGTGACCAGTGGTGGCTAACCAGCCTGATAATTCAAGTACAGTTCTTCCGCTGGGACTGCACCCACGGGGTATCCAATTAGTTTCCTTACAATTGGTTTCCCGTTTCCTCTTTGCAGGTGTATAAACACAAATGTTAGTGGTCGCTGGCTTCCTTGCCCTTAGTCGTTACTCATTCACCCTCCGCAGAGTTAATTAGCATTCTAATAGTCAGGATGATTCGACAAAAGTTACTACCCTTGAATCAACTTTCATCAATGCTCTCAGTCCGAGTGGCGGGAAATTTTCCAAGTGGATGTAAATTTTCGCGACAACTCGACGAACGTTAAATGTAATTTTCACGAGAGGCAAAATTGGGAGAGATCGTGCGCTGGCGCAATTTCGAGGGTTGATGGGGGTTGAGAGATGAAGCGTGAGGAAAATAGTGGGGGAGGAGGGAGGGAATACTGGAATGAGGAGCGTCGCCAGGGGTTAATGGGAATTGCTTTGCCTTTGGAGTAACGGTTACTGGTCACATATTCTGTCGGCGGAATTTCGAAGGCAGTACTGCTCCAATTTTATTGAAATTCTCATATCGATGTGTTTATGGGGCTCATCACATTCTATTCGCAATGTGGAAGAGCATTTCATTTTGCGGTGGAGATGTCGTGAAAGTTTTATCTCTGAGTATGTGGCATGGAGGAGACAACTCGAGGTGAAGAATTTTCCATTTATGCTCTCCCGACGATGAAAACTGGTTCAAAAATTGGAGATGGATATGCACTAGAAATACTAGTATTTGAAATTAAGAAGACTTTGGTTCCTTCCCCAGATGTTTCTATCTCTTTTGTCTCATTTTTTTTCCAAATGTTTCATTCATCTTTTCTCAATAGTCTACCATGTTGCATGAGAAGAGCCAGTCATTTTGAAGGAAGTTAGGAAAATAATGGTGAAAGAACTTTTGAGATTTAAAATTCGACATTTCAGCCGTCACCAAGTTAGGCGATAATGCACGTCTTGTGTTTTATGACTTCAATGAAGACATTTTGAAGACACTGGCTTTTACAATGTGTTTAGCCTTCGCGCATCAATCAGCAGTACAAACACTCAAATTGACAGAAACAATTTGCCCTGGAACTTGGAGATGTTGGCATGGAGTTTTTGGCCGCAGAACGCTCGGAATGTTGGACTACCTCGAACGTCAAATATGCTCTCGCCACAGTTTGGATCACAGACTTGCCAATAAATGTAATTCAATTCCTGAAATTCTGTGATACACCGGAGTTGACTCTACGGAGCTAATGAACCACCATGAATTCAGCATCCCTTTGGCATAACCTTCCAAGGAGATGCGGTGAGTCATGTGACCGAGTGTGAGCTGATTTAATTTGCAATTCTACATTTTGATCGAAGGAATCATTCACGCAAAAGACGCATAGCTGACGTCTCGAGATCGGGTGAGCCGCATTGATCGATAAAATTATGCATCTCGAGTCTCCCATTTCCGATGCATATATCAGCCGACTAATTACTGAGTCGAGGAATAGATCTGGAGATATAACGAATAGCCGGGTATAACGGATGATGTTATTCTGTATCGATCCTCACTGATGTTCTGGAATTCCATAATTGTTTGAAATTTATTGAATATTCAGCGATGTAGACAATCTCATGGTGAGGAACAACTGGAGTCACTCGCTTCTTCGGACATTTCCGATTTCGAATGAAGAAGAATTTGCATTCAAAAATTCACCAGAAAGTCCAATATAAGTATTATCGGAATTTCAGTGAAAAATGCAACAGGTCTAATTTTAATCTAAAACCTAGCAATTTTTTGCTCGATGTTACTGGCCACATTGCATATTTTACGGAAATTTTGGTTCTTGAATTCAGATCACTTTATAAATTAAAAATGATTGTTCTCGTTGTAAAATTAATCTTCTGATGTTTCAAGTGGCTTTGAAAATATTTCTGACATTTGTCATTCTATCTGACACCAAGAATGCTCAATGAAAATTTCGACAGAATTTTTTACTGGAATTAATTTTTGGCACTAAGTTCTCAATTTCAAAACTTTCTCTTTTCAAATTAAGTATAAAGTTTCGTATTCGATTGGCATTGCACACTAGAACCATAAGTTTCTTAAAATCAGTCATTCAATTCCGAACACCAAAAACTTTCTCTGTTATTAGACTGCATTGCATTCTTTACGAGACTTTCGATAAAATTTCCTGCAAAACCAGTGCACTCCACGATTACAAGACCTCACGGATAAATTACAAAAGAGACCTTTCCCCGCGAAGACCCGCCATCTCGATAAAAAATGAAGGCTATCCCCATCTTCTCATCGCAATTGTCAAAGTTAGAATTTAACAGAGTATAACTCGACCATCAAAAAGTTATAAACGCATTGCCCCAGAATTTTCGAGAGAAACCTTCCAACAATGCAGCCATGATCTTCCCAGGATAATTTCGCAAAGGTGAGCATAATGCAATATCCCCTCGACGTACACATTCGAGAGCCATGGTAATATGGAAATGACATTCATAGAGAAGAATGAAGCAGTACGTTAGAAAAAAACCTGATCTCTCAGACATAATTAAGTTCTCCTCGGGTTTCCCCGCAGACGACCAGCGGGAAACACTAGAGCAGAGGGAGAGAGTACACCCAAAAACTAAGGGAGCGAAGTGGGTTGAAGGGAAGACAAGTGCATGCAGAAACACGGCAATGCTGAGGTAGAATATTGTTGTTTACCTCAAACAAGATATAACGGCTAACTCGGTATGGAGTTTAACCTACCCTTGTCAAGATGAAAGAGAGGCGAGGGTAGAGGGGAAGGGAAAATAAGTTCACGTAGTTTCAAATGAAAAGCTGCTCCATCTCCATTTATTAAATCCCTGAGAGAAGGAAAATTAAAACCTCTGGAGCGTCGATTCATTAGACATCGGTTAACCGCTGTAGTTATCAACACTCCGAACTCGGCAAATGCTGTTAAGTAAATGTTGAAATACTGTTTTGCGGCTATGGTTTTAAGGTTGTATATGCATGTAGAAAGGGTGGAGAAATGGAAGGTAAGCTCATTCAGACTGTTGCAATCTAATTGGCTCCGTACCCAATTACGAAACACGGGGGAGCTACAGTAACTTGCCAACATATCGAATTTATGCTTGAATTAGTTCTGGGCGAAGACGTAAGACTTTCGGGTATTTGAGTCTCGTTTTCCTTCGTGTGGTTAATGAAGGGTGCGAGGATTGATGTAAATTTCATTCTCGTGGGTGCAGTTCATGTTAACGTTTGGCATCAGATTTCTGAATCCCATTTGTGGAAATTGTGTCAAAGACAAGTATTTCGATTCGATGGTGAGCATCGTGTGTCTACATTGAGCGTGTGAATATAATTATTCAAAGGGATGAGCACCAAATGCACATTGACGATAAATAATTATTGTACAATTCAATGGCATTCGATCTCTTCTGTGAATTGATGAATTTGGACGGCTCGCCGGTTTTTCATGTACTATTCCGTTCCTTACGCTTGAATTAGTTCTTTGCGAAGATTGGAGTAAGAATTTCGGGTATTTAACTCTCGTTTACCCTCGTCTAGTTAACGAAGAGTGTGGGGATTGATGTAAATTTCATTCTCGTGGGTCCAGTTCACGTTAATGTTTGGCATTAAATTTCTGATTCACATTTGCGAAAATTGTGTCAAAGAGACGAATTACGATGCGATGATGAGCATCATGTGCACCACATTGACCGTGTGAATATAATCATCCAAAGGGGTTAAAATCAAATGAACATTGGGAATTAATAACTATCCCACAATTCAATGGCATTCGATCTCTTCTGTGAATCGATGAATTTTTGATGGCTCGACTGTATTTTATGTACCACTTTTGACGCTAATACCACTGTTGATAGGTCGAAACTCAAAAATTCATGATGATCCGGCTAATCGATGAGGCTCAGGAGGTACGCCCAGTTGTTTCAAGAGAATGAGAATCGATCTGCCGACCATTTCCACTCTTTACAGCCCGCCATCTGGCACCATCGCATTTGTGGCTAAACCGATTCACCACAGCACTACAGCGTTAATAAATCACCCGGCCACAGTATCTTATTACCGAAAATGTTTGCTGTATTTCGGCTTGTTCCGGCAAATTGGTCGTGTTGCAGGCCGTCCTAATCTTTATTCCTCTCGGTCTGAACTTCGTTTACAACCGCAAAAATGCTTCTCATTAAACCAGAATCAGGGGGGGAGATAAATTATTCACGGATGAGCGCCAAATTGTTGGCAAGTGTCAACAAATCTCACCCTTTGAGTTTCTTTCCCTAATGAGTTGAGACTGAATGAAGACTTTTCTCAACTCGCGAGTGCTAAAACACGTAACCCTCAATGACATCAACTAAAACGTGAGGTTCCACTTCTCACAGATGTTGAAGTACTGTCGAGGATGTTTGCAATAAACGATGCAAGGATTGGATCGTAAAACGTGTGAGTCGTGGAGATGTACACTGGTACTTGAGAATCCGAAAGAAGGTGAGAAAGTACTGTCGGTGGAAATGTAAGGAAGCTGTGAGAGTTGTCACTGGAAATGAAAAGAAGAAGGGGTTTTCGGGATGTAAGAACCTTTCTCAGGTGGTTCTTTTCAACGTGTTGAGGAAAATTGTGACGAGAAGTAGCGCTGAATATTCCCGGGAAACTCGTTACGGGAGAGAAAAAAAGCCGTCTCGACAGTTTCTCCTGCGAATTTCCTGGTGTACAGAAGACTGATGGAAATACTATTGTCTAATATGAATCATAACTCATGCACCATTATTCAAAGAGTCCACTGCCTGTTGACCTGACCCAGTCTCTGCCCTCGTGATTCACATCTTCCTTCCCGTTTTCTGTTATCTCGAAAAATTTAATCAAACTAATAGAGAGCATTCCGTCCACGGAGGCAATACGTCAGGATCGCTTTGTGGTTTGCCAACGTCCTTCAAAGCTCTAACGATCATCAGAGAGAAAACAATGGGGATGAAGGAGAATAGCATTTCTATCCCCTTTTCAACGAATAAATTTCTAGCCCCTCGGTAGCCCGAAAACTCGCTGAGGCGGCGCCTTTCTATCTCTGTCCGAGGCAATTCTCCCTGTCCAATCATCCCTGACCGCTCGTTTTCACCAGGAAAATACGCATGGAAAAATTCAGTCTTTTCATGCTTCCAGTAAGGGTCTCGGCAGTCATACCACGCCAACTAGGACCTCTGAAAACTCCTCTGGGATACATATTGCCAACTACGAATACATACTGAGAGGAAAAAAACTTCTCAAACAAGTCTTGTTTGAACCAAAAAATCGCAAGTTAAAAATTACTAAAAAAGTAAAATTCAATGTACACTATTCGAAGACTGTCCTGAGGTGAATAATTTTTGTCACAAAAAATGTTCGTTTTATACGAAACAAGGAACAGTAATTTTTCTTTTTGGCTAGTGAATAATCACATGAGGAGTGAATTGTGAAATAACATAATAATGATGATATGATAGCAGTTTTGTAACTAGGGGACTGTAAGAAATACACTGTTAGAAATTTTTCGAATTTTCATGGAAAATCTGATAATAATTCTCATCAGAGTGACACTGAATCCGATTTAAGGAAAAAATATTTATGAAATTTCAAGTTCTAGGTAGAGTTCAATTAAATTCATGAGCTTGCAGTGGAGGTGAGAGGAAAATTTTACAACTTGATTGAATTTTCAATGGAAAATGAATATTCCAAAACAAAATGACATGCATTTTCCAGATTTTTCGGAATTTTCACTAAATAATTGAACTGAAAAATACAGTATTTTATTGATTTTCAAATTCAAAAGTCAGGCAAAAATTTTTAACAGTGATTTCATCTTGAAAAGTCACCGGACTTTAAAATTCCACTCAACCAATTTCTTTTTCTGTAATTTTTTTCTTGCCATTTTTTTAGTCCAAACAAGACTAGTTCGAGAACTTGTTCATTTCTCTCTCAGTGCACGAGATATCTAGATGGTAAAAAAATGATATTTCGAACGGAAATTCAAATCACGTAATCCCCAGCAGTGTATTCGCCTACCATGCTCGGATGTATTCGCAAACACAACCGTGAATATGCGGGTTTGAGATTTCAAGTTCTACTGTATCTAGCGTAACCATCACCCCAGTCTGCAGATTACCTTTCAGAACAAACTCGGTGGTGCACGAACATTTCGGGGGGGAAAAGTAGAGCACAGCTCACAGTGAAAATCAGAAATCCATCATATCTGTTTATGTACTTGACGATCATAAATATATAACTGCTGTGCATGAACGACGCAGTTCAAGTGATATAAAAAAACCTGACCCTATGTGGTTTAGGGTGATTACGCCTCAACAAATTGGACCATTCGTTTCACGTCATTTCCCAGCCCCACGTGTTTTTTTTTCAGTCACGATAACAACAGAAAGGTGCAGCACTGGGAGATATCCATCCCATTAATTTTTGAAATATTCTACCTCCCTTTTTCCATTATTTTTTTCTTTCCCAACGATACGGAAAATTTGCTTCACAAATTTCTTCCGTTTGCGGATCATCCGAGCGAGCGCCCTCTCGAACGACCTAACCACTATTTATCATAAGTGATTTATACAGCTTGATTAGTTTCCCTCGTTTATTTGGTCATTTATTATCACATATTAACGGAAAAAACTTAACTAACAGAGAAAAATAGTGCCTGAGGAGAAATGTGTAGACATAAGGTTTAAGAATTAGGGGGTTGTTTGGCTGAGTTGGTCATTTTGATGATAAATTTTCACGTTTGAAATTAGTTAACTACATTTGAGTTGTAATGCAATTTAAACTCAACGAAATTTATTATTTGAATAAAATAAATCGGTTTATCCATCTGAATTCTAATGAATCTTGAACTTGATTTTAAGTATTGTTTTCATTTTTATACATATCAAATAAATAGTCTTTTAACTCTAAACATGACCATTTAATAATTCTTTATTTGCATAAGAAAATAGTTTATTTGACATTAATAGAGGATTTATTTGGAATGAATGCGAATTCATCTCGTATTTTTTTAAGCTCTCAAATTCTTCTTTACAACCCAAAAACCCTCAAAATAACCAACTCTAGGAGGTACAATGTCTTCATACAAAAAAGCTCACATTACCCACAGTTGGGTATTAAAAAAAAATACACAGCAAGCATTTTGGCGTGCGTAACAGCATGAATATCATTACCTAGGGTGAGCTTCTCCCCGGAGTCTGGTGGCAGCGTAAAACCGAGCAGTGCCATACTCGATATAAGTACACATGGCACAATGAGATTGAAGAAATAATACAACGTTCTCCTGCGAATGTGTATCGTGAATGTAACGTCGACGTATGGCTCTGGACAGCACTGATAAATTATCGTATTCTTCTTGCCAGGCATTCCTGCAAATCAAATAACGTTATGCTCTGGAGCATTTATTCAACATAATTTCTCACTGTCGCATCTATCGTATTATCAAATTATTCATTCAATATTTTGAACGAGACCCTCATCGATAACAAGATGAAACTTTCTTCTTGTGAGGATATTTTCCGAGCTTTAATGGAACGAATATATGAAGTATATTTCTTACTTTTGAGAAAATATACAGGGGAGGCAAAAAAAGTTTTCACGACTAAAGCGGATAAGGAGATTCCACTTCAAGGGGATGAAGAGGACGCGATATAGAAAGTTTTATCCCTTATCACGAATTACCCGGCTACGAGGGAAAGCGCGGAGACGGGTTTTCAGCGCATCCCTCTGGAAAATCTCGGAGTCGACGATGGGGTCTCGTGTTCCATGGGGGCTATTGTTCAAATAACATTTATAGTTCCATTCTATCTTTTGTTGTGTCTTATTGTCTATTGTTGGCGGACATGTCCGGCGAATTTCCTCGCTGATGAAGGGTCGTACTTGAACTATGGAAGTTGTGAAAACCTTTCCCGTGAATCGGTAGGTTCATAAGGGGACGAGTATTATATTAAAAAGGGTAAGCCCGTTTTGAAACGATCGCAGTCGTAAAGAACATTGACAAGAGGCTGTCATAGGAGAGACTTTTTACGACTCAATGATTCTAATCTCTCGTCGGATAACATGAAATTTGCTCAAAGTTCATGGGTATCCAGAGAGCAAGTAGATTTTAGCTGAGGAGAGAATTAGTACGCCACGTGAGCGCGTCATGCATTATTTCCCTCAGTCGTTACTTTTTACGGGTTTTGAATTTTCCGGCATGTGCAATAAAATTATACTTTTCAAAATTCGCTCAATGGTTGCACTGGATTTTTTTACCGGAGGACATCGAATCCATCATGAAACGAGAATAAAAACATTGATATTTTTGGTAATCATGAGTTCACGGAATCGCAACCAGACTCACCGATGAGGTTCCGGTATTATACCAAAAAGCTGAGCCACACTGTCTTTACTTTTTCAAGAAACTCGTGGCTTGAAAATATTGAAGAGCAAAATATCTTGCACTAAAGAAAAAAAAAACTTTCGTCAAGAAATTTTGCACTTGACGTAAAGACAGGAACAATTTTCTAAAGACAAGCAAGAGATTTTTCAAACTTTTTTTTAGTCTGAATTCTAAAATATTCTAGTGCAAAACCACATGAGTTGCTTTGGGAACTCGTTCTCTTGATGTGAATCAATTATCCTCATCTTTCGGACAAGTATACAATTTCTTGACGTAAGATTTTTTTTCTTAGTGTGAGATATTGTGCAGTTTGTAAAGACCTACTTCTCACAAAACTCTTGTCTTCTCAGTGCAAATTTGCAATAAATGCAGTCGCTTAACATATGAAATTTCTCAAAGTTCATGAGTATTGAGAGAGTACTCAGCATTTAGCTGTGTGAACAGAAATACAACGTCCACGTGAGCACATCGTGCCTGATTTTTCTCAGTCGTTATTTTGAACTGGTTTTAAAATTGCGATCACTATCTGGATTTTCCTGCATGTGCAATGAACCAAAACATTCAAAAAGTCTTTCATTGCTTGCACTCGAATTTAATTCACTCGAGGAAAATAAAATTCATCATGAAAATAGAATTCGAGGACAATAAAATTCACGGTATACTGCACGTGCGCACAATTACGCACCTGACGAGTGCGTGGCTCGTCGTAAAAGCCGCGAACTCGGGTGCAATCAGACTCACCGATGAGGTCCCACTCCCCGTTCGTGATGAAATCGGACAAGTCACCTCCCTCCTCCGAGTTGAGTATGAGATCGAGCTACCAATTTCAAAGTTCGATTAAAAGAAAAAGAACATTACTCTACTTCGTGCAACGTACACAAATAAAACATTGGCATACATCATACCATGCATATGAACGTGCTATTTTATATTTCAGAATAATATATTCACAACTTTCAGTATCTTTTTTACTCGCATCGTGTCTGTAATCCTTGGAGACAGCACGAGAGAGTATAAACAAGAATATTCCCGGGGAAAATTGCCTCTCCTCTCCCTTTATAACTCGATATTTCCGTGAAACGAATACACAACAATTTCATCATATCCCTAACATATTACAATTTTTCCTCGAGGTAAAATCATAAAACCTTTTATAAAGCTTTTATCACTGAATTGAGGCGCGTTAATATCAATTTCAACGTTTAAACCCCATTGTTCACATGTTAAATAACAGAAGTTGCAATTTCATCGTGAAGGAAAACTTCTGTACGAATAATTATGGCTGGAAAAAATTGCTGGTCTTCCGGTTCGTTAAATCGCTCAGCACTCGAGTGAAAAATGTGAAATGTTGCGCTGCCATTAGCGATAGCTTTTAATGATATTCAGATTTCGGGCACACCACCAGTCACTGAGAATCCAAAGGGCGTGTGATTAAAATTATCGGGTATTAAGCCGGTAAATACATTTCCAAATAGCGAGCCCCAATCACTCTCTGCTGTCATCCAAGATATCAACAGAATAATCATTTTGTAAACATTTAATTAATAAAATCAACAATTTAGTAGCGGAGCGGTAAAACAATTCAAATCGACTTAGTTCTCAGCTGAGTTTTTAATGGATATTTCCAAATCTAAGGGAGATAGCGAAATTTTTGTTTCAATCTTTTTTATAGATCTCAATTCGCTCTATAAAAAAGGTTATAACAAAAATTTTGCTATCTACCACAGATTTCGAGGTATTCATTGAAAACTGACCACCAGTGAAAATCGATTTGAACCGTTTTACCGCTTCGCTGCCGAATTTATTTCAACCAGTGAAAGCAGTGAATGGAAGGTGGTAAGCGCACGTATATCAGCAGCTTGTGCTAATTAAAAATAATTAATGCATGTGATCGTACGGACGGCCAAGAGCATTTGAAATTCAGGGGGCATCGACACTTTGACCGCGGATGAGGCGTGCAGGTGTCTCTAATGACGCGTGTCAGGTGCATTAATCGTTACCAGCAGGCATTGTCAGGTAAATTTAGATATTGAACGACAAGGAAATGTACCGGTGAGCACAATCCCTCCATTCACTGAATAACTGTTAAGTCATGTTGTTTGAATAATCACGACTCTTTCAATATAATCGGAAATTCACGGGGATTATTCATAAATCATGCACTTAAGGACTAGAAATACTCGTGCAATTGACTCATTTATCTTCACTCATGAATTTTTAAATCTTTTTTTTTTCGGTTGAGGATTGTTGGGGCTTTGAGAAGGAGCCACAGGGTTATGTTTAATGTGATACATTCAGTGAGAGTCAATCGATGCGTCATTGTGATTCCCGATGAACCCCACTGAATTTATATTGTCGTCGTGGGGGGGAGCAGTGAAAAACATACAAATGCGAAAGAGTTTGGCAGTGAATGCCAGTGGAAAACGTAGCGATGGAGAATGAATGGATACGCGGGGGTGCTTGATCGCGCCGGAGAGAGCGTTGGGGATGGGCACAGAGGCCTCGATTTTGTCAGAGTCACAGTTGTGTGTTCAGATCGTAAATTCCAGGTCATGAAATGAAAGTGGGCAATGGAAAGTCCACTCCCCCTCCCCCGCCTCTGTCGCCAAACTGAATCCGTGCTCGCAACGTCTATCGGGGGATTCAATGGTGAAATCCATCTGCAGTAAATCTCGGCATGACCTTTAATGCTCGGAGATTCATCTCACGGTGTTTTCTAACGTGTCTGTGGACTTCCTTCGGGGAGAATTGATTCAATCTGGACGGGGGACAATACATGATTCAGTCTCGTTATTTTGAGATTGATGGGGATGTGGTGATTATTCCGTCGTTCACGAGGTGCTGGAGATTAGTCGGTCGTTCATTAGGGGATTGTCTGACTAATTCTCGGACAATTCACTTAATCGGACGGATTATGGCGCGCATGGGGTGGCATGCTAGGGTAGTCGTGGGAGTTGTCGTTAAATGGATCTTTTGATCGGGTTTTCAGGGGTACCCAGAGAAATCAGGCATTTGATTGACGATTTTTGGTGGAGATTGAAGTTTTGAGGGATTTTGTCATTGAAAATTGACAATTTGATGAAAAAAAAAACAATGGGAACGGTGAATTTCAATTGACTTGTCTCATGAAAGTTGATAAAAATTAGGAAAATTTGATGAATTGAAAATGCACTGGAATTTGGTCCTGAAAGATAATTTTTTTATTGAAAATTCACACGAGTTTGGGAAATTTCGTTAAATTTACCGTCAAATCTGAAATGATAATTTTTGAATGTCTCTTTCGTCGAAATTAATTGTCAACAATCTATTAATTCCGTCTGACAATATTTTTGTTGGAAATAAATGCATTCCCATATTTATATGAAGGAAAAAGCTTTCGTTATGTGAAATAAATAATATATTAATTTCAAGTAAATCCTTCGTTACAATTAAACAAACATCGACTCGTATAAAAAAGACTATCTATGTAATATGAATGAAAACGCAATTGAAAATGAAATTTAAATTTTCATAACAGTTTTAGTACAAATTATTTACGTAAATACACGATCATTGGAATAAACTTCATTTAATTGAAATACACCATTTCTCTGGGTGCGATGTACCGGAAAATCATGATTTTATCACATTTCATCCTTTCGTTTTTGCTCTCTCCGGGCTTTTAGTTTTCGTAAAATTTCGAATTTTCCACTGTCACCCATGGCTACCAATTCGCATTCATCGAGCATCAAAAAAATGTCACATCATATTGATGGATATTGTCCGATAGTCAAATGGAATAAACGCACGACTTCGTGTTAATGTACTCTGTGTGTGCCTTCCATTCGGTAATATTTGAAATTTGGCCGACACTCGTGTTATGCGCAAGCGCCCAGAGAATAAGCACGAAGCACGCCCGCTCAGTCCTTCAGTCCAACGCGTTCATTTGCAAATTAAATGAACACTTAGGGTAAGTAAAATCAAAGTCATTTTAAAATATAACACGCACACATAGACACTGTGAAAACACTTGATAAGCTTCAAGCTTGAATGTTAAAACATCGTTAACAACGAGTGGGGTTGCAGTAGTTGGGTTAAGTAAGGGTGTTATGTCCGGTATGTGGTCTTACATGGGTGCCCAGGCTCACTCGCACTGCGCTGTACCTATTTCTCACTTTTTTCATCTATTCTCTGCATCGGTGCGTTGAGGGGCACGCAAGTAAGAGCGCATCCGAATGCATCTGCCTCGCACACACTCGATGGATTGTTGAGATATATTTATTTATTAAGATTTATCAAATCGATCTTACCTTACTCAAGGCACAAAAATTGAAAAAATATAATCCTTCATTAGGGAAATTTAGTGAGGTGTGCACGGGGAAAAATTTTCGGGGTAAATTACGGAATAAATCAAGTAATTGTGGAGCAATATTCAGTTCTACATCTTTTTGACTCTGCATGGAGGAAAAAATGCGGGGTGAATGACAAATTTTTTAGGATAATTCGTCATGAAATTGTACAATTTATCGATAATTGAGTAGTTTTTTTCATCAATATCTACAATTGTATTAATTATTTGCATTAATTAATTATGCCTCGATGGCTTGGCGCAGTGGGTACGTTCGTTGCCTCACATGCCGAAGGTTCCGAGTTCAAATCCCGGCCGGGTAGAATGGTGGGATCTAACCATTCAAAGTCTTGATCATCATCGCAACATACCCTAACCGGGTCGAAGCGATGTAAAATAATGATAAAAAAAAAATTAATCAATTATCCACAGATGTCACTTGTCTCGGGACTAATCGTATAATATCCCCCACAATAGTATTTTTTATTTCCAAAAAATTTGCTCCACAATTACCTTTCGTATACTAAAGTTTTCTGAAATTTTCTCGATAATTTTTCTCCAATTTTTCTCTCCGTGCGTAAAATACATTATTCTGCACATCGAGACAAAAAATGCTGAAATTCTCCACTGAAATTTCAGAAAATCAGCAGAAACTATACATATCAGTTCAATTATTCAGTAAAAATTAGGAAAATTCAATCAAATTATTCAATTCATAACTTCACTCAAATGTTCATCTTCTTCAACCTTTGACGTTATTCTGAGCTCATGTGAAACGGGCAAAGAAATCCCCTTCAATCGTATCGGAATGACATTTGAAATATGCACAACATGTGGGCTAAACAATGGAGTTTGAGGGCGACGCCTTGTCTGGTGACAAGCCAAGCAGCCCTCCGTGTATCGCTGAGGGTAACCGAATCGAAAGAAGAGAGGCGACTGGAGGGCAATATGCAACAGGTGAAAAGGCCGCGGAATTGCCACTCGGACTTCTTAGTTTTCAAGAGCCGCGGCACTTCAGGGGGGGATAGGTGTCGTCCCTCCTCTCCATCGATTCCCCCCGCAATCTCATCCCCCAGATATTCCAGTCTCATTCCAGTGGATTATAATTCCAGCCAAAAATAAAAATCACCATGGCTTCATCATGATCCACTGAATTTTTCCGGTTTATCCGAACATCTCTGGCTTTATTAAAGCGGAATTTAGAGAGGAAAATTCAGGGACCGAGGGGATGCATAAAATCGGATGCACTTGATCCTGAGAAAATAGGAAAAAAATTTCTACGTAGAATTCCGTATTTTTACGAGAGATAAGGGAAAAATATGGGAATGTAAAAGCATTGAGTTTCATGTGAAATGACGGAGCGATGTCAGTGGGTATAACACCCCAGTGGCATTATACAGCCCGACATATTCTCAGAGTCGATACATCCCTTTGCCACCACTGCACGTGGATAGCATATGCAGCCTGCGCTACTCCCCGCGGACGATTTG